AATTTCATATTTCTTAAAGGTATCTAATTAATTTATAGGTACCTTTCTTATGAAATTTTATCAGAAGTGTACATAAAATACTATAATTTCATGTACATTTATTACATTTGACTGTGTTATTTGTATTTCCATTCATTTTATTAATTTTGATATTTCATTTATGGAAAAATATCATAACTGAGATTAATATAAAAATAAGATCATATAAATTTCACAAGATGATACTGATGCTTGTAGGTACCCTTCTCAGTTGAAATTGAAAAATCAAATTAGCTTCTCCACACGTGTTTCGCAAAAGTAAAGGCCTTAACAGCGAAGAACAATGTTTAACTCAAATAACGCAACTTAATTGTATTCTGGTTGGTCTTCCGTACTTTATAATTACAGCCCGATTATAAACACAAAATCACATTTTTAATTACTGCGGATCTTCTGATTAGTCAAAATGATACAATTTACAATGCGCTAAAAAAAAAAAAAGATTTATCGCATAAGCACACTTAAGAAAACCCTATGCGGCTTTTAACCAATTTTATAATATTTTAACAACATAAATGTAAAAATCTATTATAATTAGAGAAATAACAAATAATTGTATTAAAAATTCATTTTTCATCGAAAATTTTTTTTGCTTTCAGAAAATATTGTCCATATTCATAAAAAGAACTAAAAGCAAATAAAAACATTTGAAATTAAATAATGTATTTGTTTTATTGAGTTTTGTATGTTACAAAAGCTGATTTTCAAGTAGGTGGGGTCCAATTAAAAACAAAAAAAATGATTTAAATTCCTCAATTTTTGTGCTTTTAACTATTGTAATCACTAAACCCGATGCGATCGAATTTCTAGCGTTTCATAAAATTAGTTATGGGCGGGGGTAATTAATATTTAAAAATGGCTTTAATAAAAAAAAAATCAATTTCGATCAGCTGTGAATAGTTCCTTAAAGTTTCATTAACATCCGACAATTATTTCTATTTTTGCAAGATTTTCTAAAGTAATGTGTGTCATACCAAATAACGTGCTAAAAAATTGTCTGTTATTTACTAGTTCTGCTGATACAAATAGAAATAAGGTTATTTTAATCAAAATTTACAATGTTCTAAAAAGAAGGAAATTTTTTAAAAAATAATTAAAAAAAACTTTGGTCTCTCCCATTAATAATAACATAAGCATTTAGACGATAAAATTTTGTTTTCGACAAGGTTGGCGTCTTTCTTCAAGCTATGCTTTTTTTTTCCGGTTTCGTGGAGGTACCTATGTAAAACCATTATAGTAACTGCCAGTAGTTATGATCATAATGTAAATACTATAAACATGAATATATGGCATAAATGTGTATTTAATGTAGATATATTAATCAATACAACACAATAGATTTCTCACAGCTACTTTCTAACGCAAGCGCTACTGTATCGTACTTTATATACTGTACACGCATCTTTGTTTACAAATGAAAAGCCCGCCACCAAGCGGTCACTATGAGAACTAATATGACTCGTTCCGTTAAGCCTGCAAATTTTGAAATAAATCGCTGACGGTTTCGAAGTTTTTGTACCTGCAGATTTTGTCCGTTGCATCCAAAATGCGTTGATGGTGTGGGTTGGGGGCGTAGATGAGAGGTTTGCATGTGTGTAATATATATATGTGTGTGTGTGTGTGTGTGTGTGCGTGTCTATGAGAGATAGGTTGTCAAAAATACTTTTGCAAACTTTGTGGTGAATGTACGTTACACTAGAATAAGGATAACATTCTCTATATCTCTCTCTCTATCTCTCTCTCTCTATCTATCTCTCTATCTATCTATCTATCTCTCTCTCTATCTCTCTCTATCTATCTATATATCTCTCTCTCTTTATATATCTCTCTCTCTTTATATATATCTCTCTCTTTATATATCTCTCTCTCTTTATATATCTCTCTCTTTATATATCTCTCTCTATATATCTCTCTCTCTATATATCTCTCTCTATATATATCTCTCTCTATATATCTCTCTCTATATATCTCTCTCTATATATCTCTCTCTATATCTCTCTCTCTATATCTCTCTCTCTATATCTCTATAACATTGAAGTCAACTGGCTATTTCATGCTAGACATCCAGTGCATCTAGCATGAAACACTGTCGCCTCTATTCATATTATCTACTTTCTTTGTTTCTCACGTAATTTTGCAGTCTTGTAGATCTTTGCTTGTATTTTGGAAGTTATATTTCGCTTTTCCAATGCAGCTTCGGATTTCGGTGTCACAACAAAAGATAACGCTTAAAGGAGTTTATACGAAAGCAATGTATATAAACAAACACTTTAGACGTTCTTAGATAAAGCTTAGAACATATGTTGGTTTGACTATAGACAGATATTATCAGAAATGACAGAAGAATAGGAAAATGAAAGAAATAAAATAACAATTGGAAATTTCCTCATTTTACTGCACATTGACAGATAATGAGATTTATTTAGAAATTCTTCCAAACGTGAATGATTGATGCGACATTTTGCTTTTTCTTTGTTTTCAATAAAGAAAGAAATATAAAACGATGAATATTGATTAATTCTATTCAAATAATTTTGCACAAATCGCTCAAGCATTTTTAAAAAAAAAATCTTCATAACTTAATTTTACTTGCATTGTTGTAATGTGTTATTTTCTATTTACAATATTTATATTCGGGCTATTTATTCGTTATTATCTTCCGGCCTTTCTCAGGTGTATATCTATCTGGATAAAATACAAGGAATTCCCAATGGAAATCATTATTTAAATTATGGGAGTCGACCGTTCTTGTTCCACTGATCATGTCTTGTAATATCGTATAGTCTTTATTTTATTTAGTACTCTTCAGTTATTGTTCATCCGTTTCCGCTGAATGCAAGTAAACACTACCCAACCAAGCGATGGAACTCGCAACCAATTCTTTTTATATGCCATGTCCTTTCAAGACGTAGGCGATCATGGCTCTCTCTATCCCTTACAGTTCCTTCCGTCTGCTTTCTCCTCCAGACCACGTTCTGTCATCCACCTGCCCAAGTCCGCCAGGTATGTCACCCGCTGTTTTCCCTTGTCTCTATTTCCCTCTATTCGACACGTGAGTATCAGATCCTCCAGGCCTTCCTTCGTCATTGTTTCCCAGAAACTTCAGCTGCCTCTTCCTGATATTAAGTCTCCTCTTTGTTTGCATCCTCTCTAAGGCCTCATCGTTGCTCACCCGCTCGGTCCAGGATGTCCGTAGCATCCTTCTGTAGATCCGCATCTCCGTCGCCTCGAGTCGCTTCTTCGACTTTTGAAGAAATCGTCCAACTTTCGTTGCTGTAAAGAAGGACAGATGTTACGTAACATTTCAGTATTCTTTTCTTTGTTACTAAAGAAATCCGCCTGTCTCGCAATAGTCTACCCAGATTTGGAATGCGTCTTTGGCCATCCTAATATGTTCGGTCCATGATATCCTCAGCATCCTTTTGTAGTACCACATCTCCGTCGCCTCGAGTCTCTTCTTCACTTTGGAGGAAATCGTCCAACATTCGCTGCCGTAAACAAGGACAGATGTTACGTAACAGTTCAGTATTCTTTTCTTTGTTACCAAAGATACCCACCTGTCTCAATTTTTTTATGGGGGTGGGGGGTATCCCGGAGGAAAATTGTTGGAGTGAATTTAGAGCGTTAATCCTAAACTTCACTTCTGATTAGGCTACCACTGCAACTACTGCAGCTGGCTTTCATGTTTTGGCTGCTGCTGCTCCCGATGTTTTTGATTACTATTGTTGCAGCTAAGGTTAAATACTTACAATCATTTTCTTTATTTATTAATGGTTCCCATATTGTTTTTAATTCTTTCTGAGGCTCACCAAGGAGGTCCTCCTAGACTAGTTGTTGTATTTTTTTTGTTATTCTCTAATTATACGAAATGACTTTTGTCGCTTTCAGTTACGATCAGACTATTTTACAGTCAATCACATACAGAACTATTATTTTTCTTCGTTTATATTTTAGATAACATTAATCTTTTTTTCATAACCATTTGAAAGTGTAACGAATACAAACGTTTCAAGATGTCTTAAACTTGTAATTTCTTTTGTTAATCTTTTGTTAATCTCTGCCCCAAAATTATCTTGTAAATTAATAACCCTAAATTTAGTAACAAATACGATTGCAATGAGTTGCATCTTCAATTGGTGTCCTATCATTTTGATAAGTCTTAGTATAGTTGGCTCAATGAGTTCTTCAATTCAGACTTTGGCGACCATGGATTTTCACAATTTCCTCTCTTTTGTAGCCCTTAGTAATATTTTTTTTCTTTTGCTATCTCTTCAAATACCTGTTCTGACTACCATTTAAAAAAAGTAAATTATGTACTGTTTATGTATGTTCCTTTAATGTTCAATATATCCAACGAGTGTCAACTTTACTAAGTCTTCTTTCCTCATTATGTGCCCTAGAAATTTAAACTCGCTCTTTCTGATGGAAATAAGTGCTTTTTTTCTTTTCATATTTTTTTTCTAAATTAGCGTTGTTAAAACGTGTTCAGTTCATAGTATTATCAGCATCTTTCTGTAGAACCACATTTCTTTTATTTCATGTCTTGTCTTCATCTATAAGATTACCCAACATTCACTGCCATAGAGGAAAGATAATTTTGCGTAACTGTTCAATACTCTTATTTTTTTTTTCTTTTATTATTTCTAACGAAATTTTCCTGTTTCTTAATACGTTGCTTAGCTATGGAAAACCAATTTTGCCAATTGAAAGGCTTCTTCGGATTTCAATGTCGCATTTTCAATCCTCTGTTGAACACTTCCTTAATATTTAAATTGATCTTGGTATCTCTTCAATTTGTTATTCATATGCTTGGATGTTCCTTTTTGCTGACAACCGTACATTGCGTCAATATTTTCAGATCGGCTGAACAAAATTCGAACCAATCAACGGACCCAAGAGCGCACTCAAACACTTTCCTTTCATAGAAGCAGACGACCGCTACAAGGCACGTTTACATTGGCATGACAACAGCCGCTTACATTACTTTAAGGATAGATCAGGTTATTCCAGTAGTGTATATTGAAATTTCTTATTTCGTTTTATCCCGCGCCCTACACACACACAATCATTCTCTCTTATTTATAAAACTATATTCATTTCTTGTTTTTCTCTTTCTCACTCCGTCTCTCTCTGTTTTTCTTTCTCTTTCTCACTCCGTCTCTCTCTGTTTTTCTTTCTCTTTCTCACTCCGTCTCTCTCTTTCTCTTTCTCGCTCGCTCTCTCTCTTTCTCGCTCGCTCTCTCTCTTTCTCGCTCGCTCTCTCTCTTTCTCGCTCGCTCGCTCTCTTTCTCGCTCGCTCTCGCTCTCTTTCTTCTTTCTCGCTCGCTCCTTTCTTTCTCGCTCTTTCTCGCTCGCTTTCTCTTTTCTTTCTCGCTCGCTCGCTCTTTTCTCCTTTCTTTCTTTCTCGCTCCTTTCTTTCTTTCTCGCTCCTTTCTTTCTTTCTCGCTTTTTTCCTTTCTCTCTTTCTCCGCTCGCTTTCTCTCTTTCTCGCTCTCTCTCTTTTCTCGCTCCTTTCTCTCTCTCTTTCTCTCTCTCTCTCTCTCTCTCTCTCTCTCTCTCTTTTCTCGCTCGCTCTCTCTCTCTTTCTCTCTCTCTTCTTTCTCTCGCTCTCTCTCTCTTTCTCGCTCCTTTCGCTCTCTCTCTCTCTTTCTCCTTTCTCGCTCTCTCTCTCTCTCTCTCTTTCTCCTTTCTCTCGCTCGCTCTCTCTCTCTTTCTCTTTCTCTCGCTCGCTCTCTCTCTCTTTCTCGCTCGCTCTCTCTCTCTCTCTCGCTCGCTCTCTCTCTCTCTTTCTCTTTCTCTCTCTCTTTCTCTCGCTCTCTCTCTCTTTTCTCGCTCTTTCGCTCTCTCTCTCTTTCTCGCTCGCTCGCTCTCTCTCTCTTTCTCGCTCGCTCGCTCTCTCTCTCTTTCTCGCTCGCTCGCTCTCTCTCTCTTTCTCGCTCGCTCGCTCTCTCTCTCTTTCTCGCTCGCTCGCTCTATCGCGTTAAGCTTTGAAAACAATCAATCTTAATATGTTATTTAATTGAAAAACGGAAATACTTGGCAGAGCGTTTCGACAATCGACGCTTTACTGGCAATACGAAGATATCAGTCGTCAAATTGTCTCCGTTTTCTTTTTCTTGCCTCGAGTTATTAGTTTTACTTCTTTTGTTGGTTCATATTATGTCTGTAAATTTATATTTGATATCCATATAATATCCCTCTTATCTTTGTAATTACAAACATATAAGCGATAGTAACGGCGATACATTAGTTTGTACCACCCGTGGAATCTCCGCAGGTCCATCGAGATTAATATTATTCCTGTTCGTCTTCAGTCTTCATCGAGTGTTTCTTCATTGCCTTCCTGCATTGTAATAAATCCAGCATTAATAATTACGACGGCTCTAGTGATTTCCACTTGGGCGCAGGGTTTGAACGTTTGTGTTCTGGTCTTGAGACTCGAGTTCGAATTGTACTATGGTCAATTTGCCAGAGAGTAACCTTTGGGAAGAGGCTGAAAACCTTGTTACGGTTTAAGCTCAAGCCTTGTGGGGGGGCATTGACTAGATAGAACCATTCGGGGGCTACCAATAGTTGTACTTGCTATGGTTTGCATGTGCTGCCCTTGTTTCAAAAATGGATCATACCAGCTTACGCGCTCTCTAAAAGAAACTGTAACAAAGGTCTGCTCATCTAATTTGCAGTATAAACTCCAGTTAGTCTCTGTGAACCCTGCAGGCCTCTGCAGTAAGCTTTTGCTAGCCGCTATATAGTGACTTCCATCCTCATTACCGGTTCAGTAATGGTGGTATTCTCTTGTACATAAGATTAGTATATATATATATATATATATATATATATATATATATATATATAGATATCCTTTCGACACTCGTCAGAAGAGTAAATATTTATTCTATCGTTAGGTCTATTCTTAAAGTATCTTGTATAATCACAAGCTTGTGAAGAAGTAAACCCTCCATTAGTGTCCATTATCAACCGTGTGATTAGATTACGTGTTTCTTTCGTGACCATATAAATATATACCTCACCCCAGATCATGACGGAATAGACTTTTCACTTTCTTTCGCAAATAAGACTGGTGGTGGGTTAACTTGTGGAGTTCCCTTTCCTTACCATAGGATCGTCTCATTTAATTTTGGGATGCCAGCTGAAAGACCTGTATGACAAAAATAAATACGTAATTAACTACACTAGCGCTAAAGAGGCATTTACTCAGATATCGCTATTGAGAATGTAAGGTCGACATTTGGGATGGGGGTCACGTGGCTCTAGCCCCATTGTGGATGCGATTTATGCTCTTTGATCTTGCAGAATGAATTCATTGCAAATATTGAATTTGTAATGTTAGACTATCTTGGCTGATACGCATAAAACGTTTCAAGAGTTTTGCTCTCTTCACTTCTTGAATTATTTCTATTCATCTGCTTAAGTTTGCCGTTTATTTTTGTTTTTACAAAATTATTTCTCTTTTTCATTTGAAAGGCAAAGGGAACAAGACAGGCTCGTTTTACTATATAATTATCAAATACACGGCCAAAGAGCTGCTCAAGGTAGAGTTACTGAGTCAGCTGATTATTCTTTCTTTCTCGTCTATATTACTGTTATTCTGTTTGTTATGGCTGTAAACTTTATTTTTAATATTCATATAATATCCATATTCTCTCAGTAATTGCAAAAATATATAGGCGAGAATAAAAGTGACCATCCCTACATTCAAATTAATAATTAGACACACGAAAATCAAATGGGTACTACAATTTCGATATCTTGGATGTGTTTTAACAGAACAGAAAGGGAAATGCTAACATCCAAAGGCGCACTTGAATAGCCAAAGATGCCTTCCAGAAGCGTAGTTCTGCAGAAGGATACTGAGAATACAACAGACTGAACATGTGGGCAACGACAGATTTAGAGAAAATAGAAACAAAAAACATCCATAAAGCAAAGGGAGAAAATCTAAGGACTATGATCGCCAATGCCCTGAAGGGACACGACACAAGAATAATGTAAGACCCAACAACATACATGGTTACTAAATGAGTTTTTTTGTAAGAGCCTATAAGAAAGGCGCATGTGTGTACATCATGTGCCATGCGTGATACACGCGTAGGCGATCATGTATCTTTCGATACATGACTGGCGAGGCATTTTTTCCCGCGGTAGGTTGCCATTTCTTTATGCGGTAGACCAGTCGCCATCCAAGGCTCTAGAACCAACTCTATACTGCTATTTACCCATATAGCTAGTGGGATTAGAGGATTCATATATTTCCCAAAGTTATTAGCACGTAAGTGAATGTAATGGATCCGACTGGAATTCGAACTCGTCTCTCCGATTCTTCAAACAGAGCCGCTATCCAACGTGCCTCCTAGTTAAAATTACAGTTAAAATTTTAGGGAGCAGAAAACCAAAATCAGAAAAATATTTTTTGAAGCTTTTGGATAAGCATTTCCGAAGAAACTCTGTTCTAGCTAAGGTGTTCAACAGGAGTAAAGTAAAGCTTAGCTACTGTTACACGAGAAACTTACTAATTATAAAAAGCCACAACACCAGATTATTACAAGTAGAAAGAAACCATACAACTGCAGAGATAGTAATGATTGTCTTTTGGACTGCCAGTGGCAGATATAGGGTGTTTTTTTTTTATTTATTCAGCGGAGGTTATTGACAGCAACAATTTTAACAAAACCTATATTAGTAGTTTGATTTTAGTGACGATTATGAGGATAAGGAGGATGGATACAGATTTACACATTATTTGTACAGGTTAAAGTTGTCCTGTTTGGAGAAGCACGAAGGTGGGCGTCGGTTCCACAAAATGGAAGTCTTCTTCGGTAAAACTACCTACGAAATTTTCTTACACCGAGAACACGGGGGAAACGAGGCTGTTTTAATTGCTTGTGAATATAGGGCTTAGAAAATTTATCACCCAAAGGCGAGAGAAAAAGACGAAAAAAACGCTTTAACTACCGAGACAGCTTCAGTAAATAGATGGCAGAGTAACATTTGGGAGATAACAAAAGGACAAAATTTATGAAGCGCTTTTAAAGACAATAAATTGTGGAGAGCCATGATCACCAATATCAGATACAAGATATTTGTTTCTCACAAATATAGGATCTCCAAAGTTTAATGTCATTGTTGTTGGTGATCGATATTCCTTCTATGCCGCTATTGTATTTCCATGGAAGACGGCAAAAGTAAACAAGATATATTTGTTTTACTAAATACAAGATGCAATTAAAATATGTGAAAAAACACTGCTCGGAGAATTTACCATACCCGTTACTTACTGAAGTTGATAGAAACAGCAAGGTTTTAACGACTCAAAATAGTTATTTTATGAGTTTGTTACGTAGATGTAAAACGAAGATGTTCAGATTATGAGGTTGTATAGGAAAGATAACGGTTGACCCTAGACTTGAAAAGGTTAAGTTTGTAGTGATCTGGGAGAAAATCCTCTCTGGTGTTTAGTTGAATAATGTAAGACAAGATTTTTTTCTTTTCAGATGAAGTCAAGAAAGGTCGGATTAGCACATATCTGGTTCACCGGAAGGTACCTTCTGTTGATAAATTAAAAATAATATACGTTTCTTTCTTTTATTAGTGATGTTGACGCCATTGAACAACATTATTACTATTTTATTAAATTCTAGGAATCGTTCCCAGGAGATTTTTCGCTTAGAAAACAAAAAAAGAACTGCTCTTAGATGCTTTCGCTATATGACAGGAAATTAAAATTTATTTTATGAATAGTATTTTGAATAGAGCCGAATAAACCGAAGTTGAAATATCTAATGAATATGGCCTGTGAATAAAAATATTCTAGCTAAGATATAGTAATATTTTCTTGATCAAGATTAAAAGCAGTCTTGCATTATATTGATAAAATTGTCCGACCTTTTTCCGTTATAGAATTACGGATGCTTTTTGATGCTTGCTGTTTTCGTTATGTCCAGTGTGGCCCAGAAAATAGTGATAAATAGGAAATGCATTTTTGATTCATTTTTGTTTAGTTTTTTTTATTTGTAATGTTGCTATACACGTACAGCATATTGTTGGAAAATCTCTGGTTATCATGAGGTATTGTCACTTTTGTAATGTCAACAAATATTCGTTGTCACTTTTGTAATGTCAACACATATTTGTTGTCACTTTTGTAATGCTCGTTTTAGTGGATACTTTCTAATTGCAGATACAAATATAGTTACGCCGTTGAACAATACAGGTGTCAAATAACACTCGCACTATTTGCTCGATAATACTCACTCGGTATGTAACCGGAATAGTGATTCGTACAGATAGATATTCACTAACCGCTCTACGGGGTCGGATGCGGCACAAGGCCAAGTTTATTGTGGGATATCTGAGCCTGAAGGCTCGGTCAAAAATTCCCCGTAGACGACAGGAAATTAAAATTTATTTTATGAATGGTATTTTGAATAGAGCCGAATAAACGAAGTTGAAATATCTAATGAATATGGCGAGTGTATAAAAAATATTCTAGCTAACATATAGTAATAATTTCTTGATCAGGAATAAAAGCAGTCTTGCGTTATACTGATGAAATAGTCCAACTTTTCCGTTATAGAATAACGGATGCATTTTAATGTTTGCTATTTCCGTTATGTCCAATGTTTCTTGACCGGCGTTGCCCGGAAAATAGTAAAATTGAGTAATGCATTTTTGAGTATTTTTTAGTTTTTTATACACGTACGGCATATTATTGGAAAATCTCTGGTTATCATGAGGTATTGTAACTTTTGTGATGCCAAAGAATACTCGTTGACACTTTCTTAATGCATGTTATAGTAGAGACTTTGTAATCGCAGATACAACTATAGTAACGCAGTTGAACAATACTGGTGTCAGACGCCTTCGAATAACGATCACACAAATAGTAATGGCTCGATAATACTCGCTCGAAAAGTAACCACCGAATAGCAATCCGTATTTTGATCAGTATAGTGAAAAGTATAAA